GAGGTACGCATCAACATCAGGATACACACAGACAGCAGCGCAGCAAAATCAATATCAATGAGAGAAGGCACATCAAAGAAAACAAAACACATCGAGCTACGACACCTCTTCATACAACAACTTGTCAAAAGCAGAATCATCTCAATGCACAAAGTGAGGTCTGAAGACAACCCATCAGACCTGCTGACAAAGTTTGTCAGCTGCGACACACTCAACAAGCACTTGTACAACGTTGGCCTTTGAGGCCACACAACACCAGTTTCACACAGTTGCACAGTATGTTAAACAACAGTTGCACAGTTGACACACGTGTATGTTTCACAACTAAACGGCCGGCACACATGTTTTAGCTTTAGGTTAGGTACAGCCATGGACGTGCCCTGGAGATGATACAACCTTTCTGGTTTTGGGTACACAACTTTGAGTTCATCTTTGACCACACCTTTTACATCCTCGCGTACATTTTTACTGCATGAGGCTTCATACATGTTTCAGACAATGTCTTTGATACATGTCGCAGCCATTTTACATTTTGTGGAGACACACCCCTGTACATTGAAGGTGCACAATGGCGATGTCAGGACTCACAAGGATCGCTGAGTACATCCCGGCCACAGAGGTCACAGTGGCGAGGACATGGGATGCAATAAGCCTTACATCTTTGGGCTACACTGAGGAGAACATCACTAGGAAACAGCCCTTGCGCACATTGGATGGGATCCACATGGACACCATCCAGAACAAGACCAACATGATGTACATTGCAATGACATTTGAGGAGTTCACATCTTGGACAGAGAATGGTGAGCTGAAACACATCCATGGCTGGGCACGTTGCCCAGAAGTCGAGTACATCGTGCTGAACAGCTCCCCTTTCGAGGCTGTCACAACCCTTCTGAATTACATTTCTGTCGGGACATGCAGGACACAGCACCTCGACACCTTCATTGTGGCCACGGTACAGCTGGATGCGAGGCACATTGCCGAGCGGGCATCCCGCGGCTACATTAATTTCTTCAATCGGGGCTACAGTGCAGCACACATGCAAATTCACATGAACAAGACGTGGATGCAGACACAAGATGAGCTGTCTAAACATCAGGTTTTCAAGTACACCGGCAACAACGGCCTGCTCGGGATTTACATGAAGTTCAATTGGAACACAGGGTACATCCAACGCCTGCGTGAACCTCGAGCAACTCGCAACAGATGAGGACACATGCCGCAGACATGCCACAGTGGCACAGGCATTGTCCTTGATGGGAGTTGGCAGCATCAAACATCTGCCACCTGCACATCAGGTGACATTGGTGAAGCACATCTCGATGCAGGATGCAAACAGTCTCAACACACTTGGCACGATTGAGGGACAGGCAGTGCCAGGACATCCGGGCCACATTGACTACATCCTCGAGCAGCAACATTTGTTCTACATGAACTACGCTGCAACAAAGGCACAGGTGTACAATGAGTACATTACAGGAGTGAAAGCAGGATCCACACTGCTGACACAGTAATCGCCGATTTTTGGCACACCGGCTTTGGGGAACCAAAGTGTTGCATTCTACACCTTGGAGACATCAAGTGGCACATGCAGTCTGTACAGACGCTCGACACATTAGAGGAACCGTTGTACAAATTGAAACAGTCAGTAGAGCTGATAACAATTTTACATCACCTCGACAAGCTAGAGCACAACTGTTTGTCTTGATGAAGGAATACATCAATCCAAGGTGGAGTGTTAATATACATCCCCTCTTGTACATGCCCTTGCACATCTGTATGATCAAGGCCTTGAGCCTACATACAGTAGAGTTACAGCTTGCCTCCTGGAAACAACAGTGCCGCGCTGTCACACACAGGTCTTCAGGTATTTACAATATCAATCCAGCTTTAACAGAGCGTTGTTAGTATATATATATATATTATCGGTCAAGATCCATCAGGATCTGTATTGGTGAATCCCTGGATGTGCGACACTCTGGAGGAGTGTGGTGGCTTTGCGGAGGCCAGCCGAAGGGCGAGCGATCCAGTGAAGAGCTTGAATGTGTCTTCAGGCGTCGATCAGGGGCGTCTTCGTGCAAATAGTGCATGCTGTGGAGTACCTCCATGCCTCGGGGGTTCTTCACCGAGACCCGCCTTGATTCGATTTCGTTTCATTGGTAAACGTAGTCCCTGAGCAAGGAGATCTCAAGTCCTCAAACATTTTCCTCACCCAGCAGGGCGTCGTGAAGGCGAGCCCTGATGGTCTTTCTTTTCCATGTGTGTGTGTGCGCGCATGCGTAATTCCCCAGATAGCTGAAAGCTATAAGGGTTCTAACTTCTATTAAAGAAGGGAAAGTGATTTGCGAGATTGAGGGCCGGGTGCTGGGGGGCATGCAGTTTGGGGTGCTGGTGGAGGTGCCGCTTTGCGGGATTAGGGGGCATGCAGTTTGGGGTGTTGGACGGCCAAGCGCGAGGGGTCATGTAGTTTGGGGTGCTGGTGGAGGTGCTGTTTTGCGAGATTGACGGACGGGTGCTAGGGGGCATGCGGTTTGGGGTGCTGGTGGAGGTGCTGTTTTGCAAGATTGACGGCCAAGTGCTAGGAGTCATGTGGTTTGGGGTGCTGGTGGAGGTGCTGTTTTGCGAGATTGACGGCCGGGTGCTAGGGCATGTAGTTTGGAGTGCTGGTGGAGGTGCTGTTTTGCGAGCTTGACGGCCGGGCGCTAGGGGTCATGCAGTTTCGGGTGCTGGTGGAGGTGCTGTTTTGCGAGGTTGGTGCTAGGGGGCATGCAGTTTCGGGCGCTGGTGGAGGTGCTGTTTTGCGAGGTTGACGGCGGGGGTGCTAGGGGGCATGCAGTTTCGGGTGCTGGTGGAGGCGCCGCTTTGAGATAGGGGGCATGTAGTTTGGAGTGTTGGTGGAGGTGCTGTTTTGCGAGATTGACGGCCGGGCGCTAGGGGTCATGCAGCTTCGGGTGCTGGTGGAGGTGCCGCTTTGCGAAATAGGGGGCATGTAGTTGAGTGCTGGGGGAGGTGTTTTGCGAGATTGATGGCCGGGTACTAAGGGGCATGCAGTTTCGGGTGCTGGTGGAGGGGGCATGCAGGCTGGTGCCTGTGCTGTTAAAGGCGCTGATGGACACCGGGGGGGCACTCAGTTTCGGGTGCTGTTTGAGGTGCTGGTGATGGTGCCGGCGCATTCTTGCAAGATTGATGGCCACATGCAGTTTGGGGAGCTGATGCAGCTGTTTTGGGGTACTGTTTGGGGTGTTGTACGTCGGAGATTGCCGGCGGGCTGGTGGCAGGGTGCTAGGGCGGGTGCTGTTTGGGTCGCGGTTGTCGCAGCATCATCATGATGCCGGCCGCAGCATCATGATGCTGTCCGCAGCATCATGATGGTGTTGAACCGATTCGGACGTTGTTGCTGCTTTAACTGTCGCGCGTAATGGTTCGTGGCTGGTGTATCATCATGATGTTGTCCACCACATGTTGTCAACCACATCATGATGCTGCTGCAATCGCTGCAATGCCGCGTTATGGTTCGTGGCATAATGCTGTCAACATCGGGATGATGCTGACTTTCGTTACACGATGATTCGTGGCTGTGGTATCATCAGGATGCTGCCTTTGCCACCACCATGATGCTGTGAGCATCGTCATGATGCTGTCCGCATCATCATGATGCTGTCGAACTCATCAGGACGTCGTCTCTGCCTTTTTTCTGCTAGATATGTAGCGCGGAATCGTACGTGGCTGGTGTCTCAGCATCATCCTGTCAACATCATCGTTTTGCTGATGAGCTTCTATGTAGCGGCTGAGTAGTAGTGGTATTTTCATGATGCTGTCAACATCGCCAAGATGCTGTCAAAATCATCATCATGCCGCGGGAATTATTATGATGCTGCGTCATGGTTCGTAGCCGTGGTGTGCTATCTGGGGTCTATGCTGGTGTTTTTTTGTCACAACCAGGTGGGCGACTTTGGTGTGGCGGAGGGTCAGGGCCACTACACTGATGGAGCACGACTTGCCAGTGGCCTAGCCTTGTTAGCCTGTTGGCTGCCAATTGCGGGCCTGGCCGGCCAGGCCAAGCAATGACTTGACTGGTGCTCCTTGAGGTTGGAACCATTGACTACATGTCGCCCGAGCTTTGCGATGGTGGCCGGTCCACTACAGCCTCCGACTGCTGGTCCTTGGGGGTGCCTTGGCGTGGGAACCGCGCCAAGTGGAAGATCCTTTAATGCTCAGGTGATCCTCTATGAACTCTGCGCTCTGGAGCTGCCTTTCCCAGGCGCGCGGCCCTCTTTTTTGTTTTGCGTGAGTGTGCTGAGTGCTGTGCTCCTCTCTCTGCCCCTTCTCTCTCGATGCTTCGCTCAGGCAGCAATGCGCTGGCGGTGACCATGAAAATCCTTGAGGGTGTGATGAAGCCCTTGCCCAAGGCGTACTCGGCACGGTGCTTAGTATTTACGTCCTCTTGGCGTTGCACAGCTGTGCCAGAGCTGTGCTGTGCTTCTTCCAGTTGCTTCCGCACTTGAGGCGGAGCTGCGATCCCTTTGCGGGGCACTGCTTTGCCCCGACCCCGCATACCGCATCTCTGCAGCTAAGGCGGGGTCTTGGCATGAAAGTTGCCGCTAACATAGCCCTGAATGTTGCTTTGTGCCAGCGGAGGTCTCAAATTTGCCATGGATGGGGTGCACTCAGGCACCATTTCATGAGAAAACCACGCGTGCGTTTGTGATATTTCCTGCTCATCCTCAGCAGGTGCCTCATGCAGACTCTGACCAGAAGAGTGCTCGGATCTGCTGAGCTCGAGGGCGCGAGTGAATTCAGAGCAAGCCTGGGGATGGCTTGCAGCAAGCGACTGCCAGTCCCATTGGGCTGTTGGCCCATTGTACATACTTCTCCCCAACCGGGCTGATTTCAGACCAGGGGCCAGCGTGTCGCAGCAGGGGCTGCCTGACAAGGGGGAGCGGGTTTGCAGGACACGGACAAGCGCATTCACGGTGCCCGAAACTCCGCTCCGATAGGCTGATGTGGGCAGCATCGTGCCGGCAGTGTGCGAGGCCATTGACGAGGCCACGAGCTGAAAGTTTTTAGCTTCCGTCAGATGTCTCATGTCTCGATGCGTCCGAAGAGGCACTAAGAGGCAGGCGTCATCCGCCAGGCGTCGCAGGGCAAAAGCCTCGCTCCGGTGCTGCGGTGCTGCGGTGCGCTGGCGCTGGTGGCCCGTGCCCGAGACTTCGCTTTCAGGACCTAACCTCTCAAGCCTAACCCCGCTTTCAAGCCGACCAGAAAACCAAGGCAGTCCTAAACTCACTCTGAACTGCCCAAGCCGAATCCAAACCCATAATGCAACACTATACCAGCCCTTAGCCCACCCAAAGCCCACCCTAAACAATTGCTTGCCCTAAAGCCTGAAGGTAACTAACCCCTAAAGCCATCTCGATCAAACCCTCAGATCACTCCAAGCCCGCCCAAAGCAAGATGCATAAGCGATGAGCAGCGAGCATTGTTTGACCGTGTGTGCTTCTGTTCGTACTGGGGGTTGGCATGGAGCTCGCATGTGAACTTGCCTGAGGCTCCTGCCGGAGAGCCGCCAGCGCCGCTGTCCACCGCACAGAAAGCTTTGCGGCTTCATGCCAGAGCCCCCGTCTTTTGGGCCTTTTGGCCCAACGGTCTCACAGTCAAGCTGGCGCAGGCCTGTAGGTGGTTGAGCTTTCGGCATCGGTGAGGCCAAGCGCCTGCGTCCAAACCTGATGACGCTTCTGAAAGGCTAGGGCGCAGATCGTGTCAGAGAGGGGGGAAGGGTTTGGTTGGATTGATTGAGCCTCTATGCATTCCAAATTTTGATGTCTGGCCAATGCAGCTCAGCTGAAAGGGAGAGATGCTTAGCGCAGGCAACATTCGAAGGCTGTGGAGGCTGGGACCGTCAACCCTCCGACCCTTTTCGAGCTGGGGGCAGCTCTGACATGCCAGGAATCCCGGGGGCGACGAGGAGACTTGGCCGTTTCTCGCCCAGGCCGCCATCTCCTTGTCGACATGTGAAGCCCCTCAACTGAAGGTTAAGTCAGCCTTGCAGGTGCGCCTGCGGGGCTTGCTGCAAACCGTCTTCGAACTCGTCGAGGCGTCGATCTGCCTCAGAGAAACCCGCCCTTCGCCTTCTGCGCTTTTCGCTTTTTGCACTTTGGACACTTGCCCTGCGAGACACTCGCCGTTGCCAGGTGAACGCCTCCAGCTGCTTGGCCTTGGCGCAGAGTTCCGGCATTAGGCACGGAGCTCCCCGGCCAGCCGGCCAGCCCGAAGATCGAACCCTCGGGCTGGCCCATGGCCAGGGCATCTGCGGACTTCACCATTCTCTTGCTTCTGGCCAGTGCCTGAGCTTTCCAAGCACACTTCAGAGGCGACCAGCTTGCGAGGTGCACAAGGCCAGACAACCGCAGGTGCCCCCAAAGAAGAGGCGCACCCGAGCCAGAAAGACCCTGATGGTTCGAGGTCTTTTGCTATTTCCAACCGGCACCCACAAGCATGCTGACTTGGTAGCAGTCAAAGGCACACAGCTCTCAAAGCTCAATACTGGGGGGCAAGGCGAAAGACAAAGCGCCGGACGCCGGAAGCAGAAGAGGTGGAAGAGGCCCGACAGAGCGACATGTTGTGACAAAGCGACATTGCATGATCCTTTGAACCGACCATTGTTTTAATTGTTTTTGTGCGGTTTGTTTTGACTCTCACCCGGAGCTGCACTTGCATCGAGCCGTGTTCGAATGAGCTCCATCTCGCCAGGAACTCGAGGCCTTGACCGCACCCAGCTCTGAGGCACCCGGATTCAGGCGACTTCACTCTGGCACGACCCAATGTGACAGGACGTGGCGGTAGAGGAGGTGCCGCCATGTTGGCACTCGCAGCTGGCCCCGCACTCGAAGGACGTGCCGAGTTTGCCAACGCAGGCCTTGGAAGTCCTCACCTCCGTGGATCCAGGAAGCAGGCACGCTACATCGACAAGAAAGAAAGAGCGACAACCCACTGGCAATGAAACTCAACAGGCATACTCAAAAGTGGGTATTTGAGCGCTGCGAATCTTGCTTGATTGATGAAGGGGTTTTCGCGGCTGGCTTGCGTGGAAAAGATGTTGGGCAAGATCTGGAGAGCAGCGTGCTTTGTCGATATGGGAGATTGAGATGTGGGCTTGCCGCTGTGCTCGCAAGACGAACGCGCAAGGTGCTGGGATGAGAACATGCAATCAAATCACTCCACTCAGAATCACCGTGTTGAAGTCAACACATGCACTACCAGCTGATGCACCGTGCAGCAAGGGGCCTTGGTCAGCATAGAAGCTGGCCAGAAGGCGAAGCAAAGGGGAAGAATGCAGCCGCAGCATGATGATCAAAGATCACATGTGCTAGATCCGGAGACAGAGCTTTGTTCTGTTTGTGACGCAAGCTGTATCTGAGCGCTGCGAATCGTGAGAGAGATGATGTTCGGCTTGCTTGATTGATGAAGGGGTTTTCGCGGCTGGCTTGCGTGGAAAAGATGTTGGGCAAGATCTTGAGAGCAGCGTGCTTTGTCGATATGGGAGATTGAGATGTGGGCTTGCCGCTGTGCTCGCAAGACGAACGTGCAAGGTGCTGGGATGAGAACATGCAATCAAATCACTCCACTCAGAATCACCGTGTTGAAGTCAACACATGCACTACCAGCTGATGCACCGTGCAGCAAGGGGCCGTGGTCAGCATAGAAGCTGGCCAGAAGGCGAAGCAAAGGGGAAGAATGCAGCCGCAGCATGATGGTCAAAGATCACATGTGCTAGATCCGGAGACAGAGCTTTGTTCTGTCTGTGACGCAAGCTGTATCTGAGCGCTGCGAATCGTGAGAGAGATGATGTTCGGCTTGCTTGATTGATGAAGGGGTTTCGCGGCTGGCTTGCGTGGAGAAGATGTTGGGCAAGATCTGGAGAGCAACATGCTTTGTCGATATGGGAGATTGAGATGTGGGCTTGCCGCTGTGCTCGCAAGACGAACGCGCAAGGTGCTGGGATGAGAACATGCAATCAAATCACTCCACTCAGAATCACCGTGTTGAAGTCAACACATGCACTACCAGCCGATGCACCGTGCAGCAAGGGGCCGTGGTCAGCATAGAAGCTGGTCAGAAGGCGAAGCAAAGGGGAAGAATGCAGCCGCAGCATGATGATCAAAGATCACATGTGCTAGATCCGGAGACAGAGCTTTGTTCTGTCTGTGACGCAAGCTGTATCTGAGCGCTGCGAATCGTGAGAGAGATGATGTTCGGCTTGCTTGATTGATGAAGGGGTTTTCGCGGCTGGCTTGCGTGGAAAAGATGTTGGGCAAGATCTTGAGAGCAGCGTGCTTTGTCGATATGGGAGATTGAGATGTGGGCTTGCCGCTGTGCTCGCAAGACGAACGTGCAAGGTGCTGGGATGAGAACATGCAATCAAATCACTCCACTCAGAATCACCGTGTTGAAGTCAACACATGCACTACCAGCTGATGCGCCGTGCAGCAAGGGGCCGTGGTCAGCATAGAAGCTGGCCAGAAGGCAAAGCAAAGGGGAAGAATGCAGCCGCAGCATGATGATCAAAGATCACATGTGCTAGATCCGGGCAGAAGCAAAGGGGAAGAATGCAGCCGCAGCATGATGATCAAAGATCACATGTGCTAGATCCGGAGACAGAGCTTTGTTCTGTCTGTGACGCAAGCTGTATCTGAGCGCTGCGAATCGTGAGAGAGATGATGTTCGGCTTGCTTGATTGATGAAGGGGTTTTCGCGGCTGGCTTGCGTGGAGAAGATGTTGGGCAAGATCTGGAGAGCAACATGCTTTGTCGATATGGGAGATTGAGATGTGGGCTTGCCGCTGTGCTCGCAAGACGAACGCGCAAGGTGCTGGGATGAGAACATGCAATCAAATCACTCCACTCAGAATCACCGTGTTGAAGTCAACACATGCACTACCAGCTGATGCACCGTGCAGCAAGGGGCCGTGGTCAGCATAGAAGCTGGTCAGAAGGCGAAGCAAAGGGGAAGAATGCAGCCGCAGCATGATGGTCAAAGATCACATGTGCTAGATCCGGAGACAGAGCTTTGTTCTGTCTGTGACGCAAGCTGTATCTGAGCGCTGCGAATCGTGAGAGAGATGATGTTCGGCTTGCTTGATTGATGAAGGGGTTTCGCGGCTGGCTTGCGTGGGGAAGATGTAGGGCAAGATCTGGAGAGCAGCGCTTTGTCGATATGGGAGATTGAGATGTGGGCTTGCGCTGTGCTCGCAAGACGAACGCGCAAGGTGCTGGGATGAGAACATGCAATCAGAATCACCGTGTTGAAGTCAACACATGCACTACCAGCTGATGCACCGTGCAGCAAGGGGCCGTGGTCAGCATAGAAGCTGGCCAGAAGGCGAAGCAAAGGGGAAGAATGCAGCCGCAGCATGATGATCAAAGATCACACTAGATCCGGAGACAGAGCTTTGTTCTGTCTGTGACGCAAGCTGTATCTGAGCGCTGCGAATCGTGAGAGATATGATGTTCGGCTTGCTTGATTGATGAAGGGTTTTCGCGGCTGGCTTGCGTGGAGAAGATGTTGGGCAAGATCTGGAGAGCAACATGCTTTGTCGATATGGGAGATTGAGATGTGGGCTTGCCGCTGTGCTCGCAAGACGAACGCGCAAGGTGCTGGGATGAGAACATGCAATCAAATCACTCCACTCAGAATCACCGTGTTGAAGTCAACACATGCACTACCAGCTGATGCACCGTGCAGCAAGGGGCCGTGGTCAGCATGGAAGCTGGCCAGAAGGCGAAGCAAAGGGGAAGAATGCAGCCGCAGCATGATGATCAAAGATCACATGTGCTAGATCCGGAGACAGAGCTTTGTTCTGTCTGTGACGCAAGCTGTATCTGAGCGCTGCGAATCGTGAGAGAGATGATGTTCGGCTTGCTTGGTTGATGAAGGGGTTTTCGCGGCTGGCTTGCGTGGGGAAGATGTTGGGCAAGATCTGGAGAGCAGCGTGCTTTGTCGATATGGGAGATTGAGATGTGGGCTTGCCGCTGTGCTCGCAAGACGAACGCGCAAGGTGCTGGGATGAGAACATGCAATCAAATCACTCCACTCAGAATCACCGTGTTGAAGTCAACACATGCACTACCAGCTGATGCGCCGTGCAGCAAGGGGCCGTGGTCAGCATAGAAGCTGGCCAGAAGGCAAAGCAAAGGGGAAGAATGCAGCCGCAGCATGATGATCAAAGATCACATGTGCTAGATCCGGAGACAGAGCTTTGTTCTGTCTGTGACGCAAGCTGTATCTGAGCGCTGCGAATTGTGTGAGAGATGATGTTCGGCTTGCTTGATTGATGAAGGGGTTTTCGCGGCTGGCTTGCGTGGGGAAGATGTAGGGCAAGATCTGGAGAGCAGCGTGCTTTGTCGATATGGGAGATTGAGATGTGGGCTTGCCGCTGTGCTCGCAAGACGAACGCGCAAGGTGCTGGGATGAGAACATGCAATCAAATCACTCCACTCAGAATCACCGTGTTGAAGTCAACACATGCACTACCAGCTGATGCACCGTGCAGCAAGGGGCCGTGGTCAGCATAGAAGCTGGCCAGAAGGCGAAGCAAAGGGGAAGAATGCAGCCGCAGCATGATGATCAAAGATCACATGTGCTAGATCCGGAGACAGAGCTTTGTTCTGTCTGTGACGCAAGCTGTATCTGAGCGCTGCGAATTGTGTGAGAGATGATGTTCGGCTTGCTTGATTGATGAAGGGTTTTCGCAGCTGGCTTGCGTGGAGAAGATGTTGGGCAAGATCTTGAGAGCAGCGTGCTTTGTCGATATGGAAGATTGAGATGTGGGCTTGCCGCTGTGCTCGCAAGACGAACGCGCAAGGTGCTGGGATGAGAACATGCAATCAAATCACTCCACTCAGAATCACCTTGTTGAAGTCAACACATGCACTACCAGCTGATGCACCGTGCAGCAAGGGGCCGTGGTCAGCATAGAAGCTGGCCAGAAGGCGAAGCAAAGGGGAAGAATGCAGCCGCAGCATGATGATCAAAGATCACATGTGCTAGATCCGGAGACAGAGCTTTGTTCTGTCTGTGACGCAAGCTGTATCTGAGCGCTGCGAATCGTGAGAGATATGATGTTCGGCTTGCTTGATTGATGAAGGGTTTTCGCGGCTGGCTTGCGTGGGGAAGATGTTGGGCAAGATCTGGAGAGCAACATGCTTTGTCGATATGGGAGATTGAGATGTGGGCTTGCCGCTGTGCTCGCAAGACGAACGCGCAAGGTGCTGGGATGAGAACATGCAATCAAATCACTCCACTCAGAATCACCGTGTTGAAGTCAACACATGCACTACCAGCTGATGCGCCGTGCAGCAAGGGGCCGTGGTCAGCATAGAAGCTGGCCAGAAGGCGAAGCAAAGGGGAAGAATGCAGCCGCAGCATGATGGTCAAAGATCACATGTGCTAGATCCGGAGACAAAGCTTTGTTCTGTCTGTGACGCAAGCTGTATGTTTCTAAGAACCCAGGACCATTCCTTTGGAGCATACCCCAAAAATACGTGTTTTAGCATATTTTGGGCTATTTTGGGCATGTTTGACAATGATGCTCGCAAGGTAAGGTGCAAAGCTATTAATTCGATTAGGGACAGCCAAGGGCGCAGCGAGGGTTTAACTTGCTCTGATGGACTCTGCAAACAGGCCTGGGATTAAAGCTGCTACGTTAATTTTCGGTGATGATGAGAACTCATTTCGGCTTGCGAACAAGGGTAAGCACGGGGTTAGTTTAGGCCCCAGGGGACGCCCCAAGGGTAGCCATGTCCTCAATTCTCCAATCCTGGGAACAGGAGTTGGGGGCGGTTTGGGAGTCTTTTCTCCCGGAAACATTAACAATATACCCCGAACCTTGCCAATTTGGGGTATGCTCAAATCAGGGCCCAATTTCCACGGCATACGCAGCCTGACTTGAGCATACCCCAACCCCACCATTCCATCAAAACACACATTCCGGACCCTGAAGCTGGGGACCTAGTGAAGGGGGGAAGCCGAGCGCAGTGCCATGCCATAGTTTCCCACAACAAGTGCATTTTCGGTGGGACAGGTCCCAGGATTGGTCGGAACAGCTTTCACTGCAGTTTACAAAAGCTGATCCGGGTTTCCATCATGTGCAGAACCATGCTGGCCACAGCAAGGGATCAAATCAGGCGCAGAATTGGTAAACAGTTCTTTGAAAGCTCTCACCTTTTTCACTTTGCGTTGACCCTTCACCGGCCACAGAAAGTGCATAGCAAAAACCTGCGTGATGCAAATTGGAGTAGGCTAAAACCTTGAAAACTGTGCCAAAACTGGTCGGGGTATGGTCCAAAGGTATGGTGTTCAGTTCTTAGAATCTTAGAACTGCTTTTCTGCAAGCATGTAGCTGATGGGACAGGTATCATGCCTTCAGCATGCTGCTTCTGACGTTGTCGGCGCTATCATCAAAGATGTCGCAGCCCCATCCAACTTCTCGTTGGCAGTGCAGTTGCGGCAAGTTTCTTGCAAGGATCGGCTCAGAGCTTTCCTGGAGCGTTTTACTGCCGGAGATGGAGGAAGGGATGGTTGCTTCTTGGATTGCCTTGGAAGCTCCTGGGGCACATTGGCCAGGATTTGGGCGATGATGAGCGCTTCAGAGTTCTCGGTCCGCTCCCTGCGCAAACTGAGCATAGCTGTAAGCCTGAGTTGAACATCAACGTTTCATGCGTATTGCACGCTCGGAGAGCCAAGGCCAAGGCTTCAGCGTTGCCAGCCGCTTCTTGTCAGAGCCGCTTGGCACATGAGGCATGCGCATACTTCGGCCTGGGCAGCAAGTGTCAGGCACGGTTTGCCTGACGACTTAGACCAGGGCGAGGCCGGAGAGTGAAACGAAAGGATGCCAAAGAAACGAGCTTCCGGTACTTCATCTAGATATGGGTGCGGGTCAAAAATGCGTACCCAAAATGGAACCCTGATAAATGGAATGGACCAAAACCTCCCGTCCGGTTGTTCAACATTGACCAACAGGGCCATATTATGTTTCGAGGCGGAGACGGCGGCCTTCATGGAGATTGCTGCGGAGGGTTCCGAGGACCTGAGCGGCGTGGTGGCCGCACTTTGCCATGGCGCTCGCGCGCTAAGCATCGCGGAGGCGCACTTCCGCGGACGGTATGGCATTTGAACTTGGCACCGAAATCTTGGAACTCCATATTGGGTGTGTCTGTTTTTTGGGGACCCCCCAAAATGGTGGTTTTCCGTTTGGCTTCCCTTTAAAAGACCACGAGGGGGAAACCTCAGAACAGGAGATAGTCTTCCGTCCAGGCTGCCTTGACTCGCTCGCCCGGGGGCCCACAGCAGGCCAGGGTTCAACGCATGGCCATCGCATGGCCATCGCATGGCCAGCGCATCGTGAGGCGGAGTGCCGGCGCAGGGCCAGCGCCCTTCGGGGCCTACTGATGAGGCCTTACCTCGAGCGACGCAACATCAAGATCGGGGAATCGTTTTCGGTTGATGGAAAGCTTTTTGGCTTTTCTGGTTTTTCTCTGGCTTTTCTGGGATGTTCGGGACTTGCATCGGGCTCGCGCAGGTCACTGGCCGTGAATCACCCGCTGACCTTCTTTCGAGCCCTCTGCTTGTCGCTGGGCGCAGGGCCCAGAGGTGATGCATCTCAGCACGTCGAGTGGCGGCGTTCCCATCATTGCATCATTCATTTTGATTCCTTGCCGGCCAGGGTTCGACTTTTGGACTGGCACACTTATACCCAAAAATGTTGTTCATTCCCCCCAGAAGGAGAACGTCTGGGTTTAGGTCTATCTTGGGAAAGTCAAGCGGTGGACCCCTGCCAGCATTTCGAGAGGTGTGAAGGGCAAGGCCCCAAAGAATGAGGGCTTGCTGGAGGACGAGGACGCAACCCCCGTGACAAGTGGTGCCTAGCTTGGAGCTTTGGGTCTCAGGACTTCTCTCTGCATCTCTCTAGCTCCATCATGGGATCTGCAGCGGCAGTGGGGCACTCAGATCTGTTCTGTTGCGTTTTGCAGGTTTTCCGGTGAATGGCTACACTAGTCATTCGAGGGGTCATACATTGTTGATCAAAGGCGTCATGGCCGGTTTGTAGTCCAAACAGCAGCTTCTGCGACATGTGGCCCGCGTCATTGGCGCAGGCTTTGAAGGACCGGCGGGAGCTACGAAAAGAGGGCTCAGAGGGCGCAGAGGCAGAGGAGGATGACGAGGCAAGTGGGGGCTGGGGTCACGCTCTTTGGTCCCAGATGGTTGAGACGGCACCATATTGGCTCGATGCACCGACAGCACTGTCAGCCAGGGCCCTGGCGCTCAGAGCGCCCCGCTGTGTCAACTGGTGATCCAGCACGTGAGCAAGCGATTCTTGTCAGGCGGGCCGGCGGTTGTGCTGAGACTTCACAGACTTCCCTTTCGTATTTCGTTTCAGATGGAGAGGTGATGCAGTGCCAACGGCCTGGCGCCTCCTGGACGACATTTGTCGCTTCTCTCGCAGCCATGTGCCCGCTGCCCGGAGCAACGGCGAAACGGCTGGGCAACGTCTGCCGTTCTGAGGGCGGGGCCCTTGGTGAAATTGCTGCCGAAGGCCGGCAGCTTCTTGGCGCAAAAGCCGGGGCCTCAATTCCTCAGACTCGATGCCTTGACGGCCTGGCCATCTGAGGCCTGATGCAGGGGTGGCTTGCTGTCAGTGCGCACGGGACCCGAGAAAAGTCCGGGCGAGGTCTGAAGTGCCGGATGGGCTATTACTTTCGACGAACATAGTCTGACTTGGGCTATGGGCGCTCACGTGTTCATGCCGTCGTACACAGCATAACACCCACCAGATGGAGGTTGTTCATGAAGCCACTGTGGCAGGATATGAATTGTCATGAACATACAACAGCAAACACTTGCAGCGCCGTCTGTGACTAGGTGGAGACGATCGTGACCTGCCTGGGCCGCGGTATGTTGAGCAAGCTGAACGACATTGTGCCGCCACTGCTGGACTTGGCCCAGGACGCTCGCAGTCTCGACATATCTCGACACATTTCGAATCGCTTCTCCAGCCCAGGACGCGGACGGTGGCGCTCTGGACCCGGCAAGGGGAATCAAAGCATACGGGGCATGCCGACAAAAACGTGCAGGGCCCGCGCCATTACTGTTCGGTGAATTCAAGCTCAGGAGAACCAGGTGCTGCTGGTGCTGAATGCGTTGGCCAACTCGGTGGGCTCTTTCCTTTCGCCCTTCCTGGGGCGCTTTTTGGAGGCGGACACGGTGCGCAACGAGAGACCCAAAAAGTTCGCCCAGCGCGCAGGTGGTCTCCACGCCTGCTCCCTTGAAGCGTACCAAGTCGCTTCAGGAGTTTTGAGTCAGCGAGTCACGAGTCAGCGAGTCGCGGCGAGTCGCAGCGAAAGACCCGTTCGAAGACTCAGAAGTTAAATCCTTCGAGACCTGAGCTTGAGGACCTGGCGCAGCAGATGGTTTCAGGAGTGCCTCAGCGTTTGCTGCTCCAAGCGGTGAGGGCCCCGGGCCCCTTGCATTTGCTTTGCAATGGAGTCCGGCATCGCAAGGTGCAGGTGGCCACAGTCGACCCATTTCAGGGGGGCGACTTGGACGATGGGCTCCTCCGGACTCAGAGGCTCGCCACCTTCTTCATTTGGATCCTTTCCAAGGCAGGGGTTAGCACTGCCGAGAGAGTGCGGAGTGCGGCGAGTCTCTCGCCAGGCCACCCCCGAGTTCGTGGCTGCCCAGGACTCGATGCCCTCCCTACTCCGGCTGGGCCCTCAGCGCGCGGATGCGGACGCTTCGGACGCTTCGGGACGCTTCGGGACGCTTCGGGACGCTCTTGGACGCTTGAGGCTGCTGGGCGTCTCCAGCAGCGCCGTGAAGGCCTTTTTGGCCAACGGAGGGCAGCCAGAAGAGATCACGGAGAGGCTCGGCCATTGGGACCCACAACTGACCTCACCGAAATCTCTTCGAATGCTGAGAGGGATAGATCCTCCCAGGCTGCGATGCAATGCGAGTCTGAGCCCGACCGGCTCTCAGGCAAGGTTGAAGCTAGTGCACGGAACGCACGTCATCAACCGGTTTACGAAATGCAAGTTTACTAAGGGAGCCCTCTGCCCACATGTCCAGGAGCTCTCCTGGGCCAAGATGGGCAGCGCCTCACTACCGCAGCTGCATGCTCTGGCGGGATGTGGTTAGGTCAAGGTTGGTAGTCGTGGACAGGTGCGCCCATTGCTGTAGTGGCCTGCAGCCGGTAGCATCGGTGCGTCGATTGGGTCGTTGCGCATCGCACTGATCCGTATGGATTGGTCACAATAGTCACATTGGTCCGGGATGTGCCGGATCCGCATCAGCGCGTCCGGATGGCTCCCGTGAGGCGGCAGCGGCCTTCTCGCAGTACGCCCTGCGTCTGGAGCTGGACGAGCTGAAGCGGCGCTTCGCCAAGGCCTTCCACAAGCCAATGGCATATTCGGAATTCTGAGGGTGGGGGGGGTAAGAGAGGGCTTTCTGGAGGACGAACTCTGGAAAGACTCGCTCTGGGCAAAATCCGGCTGAGTTCTCACTGTGTTGCCAGGTCCTGGACTGGGCCCGCGGCAAGCAGGAGCGGCTACTGAGGCGTGAGCCATCAGAGAGGAAGAGAGAGAGGCGTGCGATACACCGGAAGATATGTGGGCCATCTATGTAGATGTTATTGTCGATGTTAGAGTTTTTGATGTGAGGGCTCATGTCTTTTTGGACCTCTCAGAGAGTGCCACGCCGGGCTTGCTTCAGGTCGTCTGGCTCTGAGGAAGCCTGCCGCGCCCTGGCCCCGACCTCAGATCCCATTTCGGGACACGTGTGATGTAAAAGAACATTAAAGGAAACGAAAAGGAAAGTTGAAAAGGAAAGTTGAAAAGGAAAGTTGAAAAGGAAAAGAATCAAATTCCAACAGACTTCAACTCCTCGGGTCTTCTTCCTTGCGGCTTCGGGGTCGGGTTCGGGCCAGGCGCTGCTGGCCGTGATGACCTCGCTGGCCACGGAGGCCCCGGGCCTGGCGGAGGAGCAGCTTCTGCCCCTGGCGGCCAAGGCGAAGTTGGGCACGGAGGGAAGAAGAAATTTGCTTCTTTCTTCCTTCTTGGTTGTTCTTTGTTCTTATTGGAAGAAGAGAGAAGACGGGGTGCCCTGGTGAAGAAAAGAGACAAGGAGGGAAGTGGTCACCAAGGGCTCTCTCTCTCTCTCTCTCTCTCTCTCTCTCTCTCTCTCTCTCTCTCTCTCTCTCTCTCTCTCTCTCTCTCTCTCTCTCTCTCTCTCCCCCACCGATCGCGATTGCTCATGTGCCGAGAATGAAAACAGGAAGAACCGATCTAGAATACGAGAATTTGAGAAGGTGTGCGGGCATGAAAGCACATAGGCGGATGGTCCTTCCATAGTTTCATAATTGCCTCGCTCAAGGGGGGCTGCTAATTGTTGTCAGGGCTCGGAGGAGCCCGCAGCGAGTCTTTGAAGTTTCGCAGGTCCCAGCTGGTCCCATTGTTGCGACATGCGGGCCGATACTTGACACTGGGGTGCCACGGAGCTTGTGTTTCCGGGGAGCGATGGGAGCGATCAGAGTGTTTTGGCTTCTGTTGCCAGATTCAATCATGCGACAAAGTCCGACAGCCTGTGCTGTCGATCGAGGATGTGTCCTCGGCTCTTGAAGCTTGCCATCGCCTTGCGTGCTACTCTCAGCACTGCATTGTCTTTGCACTTGGGTTCCCGGCAGACGAGGCGGCAGCTGGTGAAGGAGAAGGCTCCGAAGAAGCGCAAGGGCGAGGGCCGGCGGCAAGTTAAGGCTGGCGCAAGGGTCGGGCAATTCAAGCGTTGAGCTGCGACACACAGGTGCTTCATACGCACACGTGGTGGTGGTACGACGCAGCTTGGCCTTGCTGCCTCGAGCACACTTGTCTTCTAAGCGCCTTTCGCGGTGCTTCAGGTCGCTTGCAGCTCTGCAGACTTTGTTGCCCGGGCCTGCAAGCCTCCAGGAGGCAGCCCAACGCTCAGGCCATCAGTCTCAGCATCGCAAGGAGTAAGCGTCAGACAAGTCGATTGTTGTGCTGTGCTGTGTGGAGCCTTGCCGAACTTTTTGCCCCGGCCAAGGATACACAGAATCCAAATCCTTGGAGGACGCCGTGGAGGACACTTGAACTTGTAGTGTCTTTTGATCTCAGACTGTTTCGTCCAAGCCAAGTCTTTCACCGGTAGCCGTTACAAGCGTGGCCATCATGGCCATATTTTGGTCACATGCGACAAACGGGTCAGTTGGGACAGGTCGCATGCCACGGGGGATGCAGGAGCTGCGAGATGCCACAGCTGCGCTGCTGGATCTCTTTGAGTTCTTGCCCGAGGAGACGGCGGGGGGCCTGCTGAGAGCCACACCCTCAGGATGGCCAAGCTCGTGCCATCCATCCGTTTTCTCCATTTATGTTCCTTCCGTGCTGTGCTTTGCCATCCGTTAACAGTTGCTTCCTCCCCATCCTTGTCGAAATGGGAAAGCAGTCTCATCACTCAAGTTGTGTATTTCCACAAGCAGTTGGTGTTGTGGGACATCCGAAAGGCTTTCCGTCGCCACTTGGGGATTTTTCTTGCGGATTCTTCCCATGGGCATGTGCCGCATATGCCGTGCATTCTCATCGCTCGAGGCTCTGCAGCCGGCGCTGGTGTCCCTGGCCGCGGCAGCGGCCGGGGACGCCGTGAAGCGCCTCATGCAGGCGGTGCTGGAGAAGACCCGCTCTGAGGATGCCGAGGTTGGAGAAAAATGGGCCGCCTCTTTCTTTGAAGGTTCAAAGAAGGTGTGGTTTTGTTGGGAGAGAGAGAGAGGGAGAGAGTAAGAGAGTCGGGACTTGGCTTGAACATGGAGGAAGAGTTGGAGACTGTGGCCAGAAGAAAGCCCCAGTTCGTCCCGAGCGCCCATTTCTCTTCCTTTCAAATTGGCTGAGGAAGTAAAATGAGATATGCGGGATGCCAGGTGCGACTCAACGCCGTCAAGTGTGCCCACCGCATTTGGAGCGACCTTGGTGTTCAGGCAGGTGCCTAGGGTGTGGAGTGAGCAAAGTTGAGAAGCTTGGGACCGGCAGGATAGGTGCTGCACGACTTTGGATTGCTTAGGGTTTTGGATGCGAAAGGTGGTGTCTTGCCTCTCCGAAGTGGTCATGTATGCTGCTGAGCTGCTGGACGACGAGGCCCGTGAGATTCGAAAGCCTTCTGTTTTCTTTCAATGTGTTTGGTTCCAGGATGCACGTGTGGAGTCAGCTGTGCGGGCAATGGTGAAGACCATCGAGGACCAAGTCCATTTTTGTGCCACGTGCGCCTTTCGAACTGCGTTGATTATGGACCCATCGCTCTTCGGTGTCGACCCTTGCAGGACTGCACGGGTGAAAGCTTGCATGAAGCTTTGCAGACGTAGGTCGGAGTGTCAGGTGCGTTACTCACGCTCCGGAATGTACAAAGTTACATTGTTTTGTGTCACAAAGCGCGGGGACGCTAAGACGGTGCGTACGGCCAAGCGCCGCTGTCCCATGCAGCTCGTGGTACCGACACAAGTGGTGGAAGAGACAAAATCAGGGACGGACAGGAAAGGATTGAGAGGGCGCTAACACTCAGTGCGCATGCCGACTTCCCTTTGACCCTCGGCGCATTCCTTGCCTTAGCCTTGCTTCACATTGCACTCGTTGGTTGCCGCTTGGGACCCTTCCGCAGGCATGCTGCACAGTTGCACAGTCTCAAGGTGCGTCCAAACTGCCAGGCATGTTTAAAAAAGCCTTCGTAGGAGGCGCCAAACTGGCACGCTAACGCCTTGGAAAGCATCGTTTGCCGCGCCCAGACGTCGCCAGGGCATCCACAGCAAAGAAGCTCGCGTACGCCCGGTTGTTCAAGTGCACACCCGCAGGATGGTATTCAAACCAAGTCAACAAGTCTTCACATTCTGCTGAGTCGTCGAACATTTTCGCCGCCACCTCTCCAAGTGGCCATGCTACTTTTCAAGCGCGCAACCTTCGGCAAAGCTTGGCTTGCTTGGCTGCTTGGCTGCTGCAAGAGCAGGGTGTAGAAGCACCAGCTTCTATCGTGGACAAGAAGCATTGTTTGTCAGATCAAACACCCTACGACGCGTCCCTGGCACCGTGGACTGCAGAAGAACAGAACACCTGGATGTGTGAGCCGTTTTGACAGACTGGCAAGCCACTCCGGAAACCCGAGCTATGCTAGGTTGAATGCGCCTAAAAAGACGACGGGCCATGGCCTTGGCGCACACTTCCCCGGACGCGGCGCTGCACCCAGCATGTACTCTTGCTCGTGGCAAGTGCAAAGAACATTCGTCTTGGCTTGTGGCTTTGGATGTGTTGTCTCAGAAAGTGTTCGCACGGAAAGCCAACACGCATCTACGACTGGAGAATTCGCAGTCGGCCTCTGTCCTGGCTTGGGAGCGCACCCTTTGGGATAGCCGAACCTCAGTCGCAAGAGCATGCGATAGAGCTACATCGCGCTCCAAGCCTAATGCAAGGCTAATGACTGACGGTCGGCCTTCGACACGCGACAGTCTCTGCCATGGAAGGCGTCGACCCTTGTCGCGCAGTTTCTTCGCACTCCATTCAGATGCGCAGAGAGTCAGGTCTCAGTGCATGCATTGCATTGGCCTGCCCACTCTCCGGCCACTCCCTGTGGGCAAGCCGTCGCCGGCCTGGGCGCCGAAGAACGAATATGTAGAGTACTTCCGCTTGAAACAGCGCACATAGGCTTCCTCTCGCACACTTTCATGAAGGATAACGGCTAACACGCTGAACCACTTTGAGGTGCCAGCCGCACATGTGCGCGCCCACATGATGATCCTATATTTGAAGGGGATGTAGCACCCCGAGCAACAAGCAGTCCAGACACTGAGCAAGTTCTTCGTCACTCACCTAGGCCCGGAAACACGGCCCTACCTTTGAATCTTTTGCTCGACGAGGCTTCATCCACAGATGTACATATGCGCCATCACTCTGGGTTTGGGCCATCGTAACGAGGTGCTTGTGACCCCCGCGCGTCGGAGTGAGTTGATGAGTTGATGCTAGCCGAGCTTTGACGGGGCTTGCGATTTCCTCGTTTTCAAGCGCTGCGTGTGCAGGAAACTAGGGCATGCCATCCCGACGCCGTCTCCCAAGAGAAAGAACCGCCATTGCCATGACCGGTCCTGTGCGAAAGGCTACAGCGTTGTCGATTGCTTTTAGCGGGCTCCGAGAAACCTAGGCCGTAAGCCAGAAGAGCGGCTGTTCGTTGAGAGGGGGCCGCTACACTGACACATATGTGTTGCTCAGGACACATGCACGCGCTCAGCCGTAAGTTCGTGCAGTGTTATGCACTCTGGGATGATGTCGATACCAGCTTCACGTTTGTTGGTGCAGGGCAGAAGGCAACAAGCGATGTTCAAGCGCAACAGACATCCAAGTGCGAGCTGATGTGGCCTTTCGTTGTTTGCTTGCGCTGCGTCTTCCCCGAAACTTTCAGGCCGGGGCACAAAGGTTAGGCGGTCGGGAAAGTCATTTTTTCAGCTTTGACATTGTTAAGTGCCAACTGGAGCCTTCAGGCTGCAAACGCAATTCAGTTTGTTGCTTTTTTGCCTTTTGTACTTTTGCTACTGTTTGTGCAAACTGGAGCTTTCAGGCCTCGCCATCAATTCATGTTTTTGGTGACCAGCACCAGCACCAGCACCACCAGCACCACCAGCACCGCCAGCACCACCAGCACCACCAGCACCGCCAGCACCGCCAGCACCAGCACTACCAGCCAGCACCAGCACCACCAGCACCGCCAGCACCACCAGCACCACCAGCACCACCACTAGCCAGCACCACCAGCACTGCCAGCACCGCCAGCACCAGCACCACCAGCCAGCACCACCAGCACCACCAGCACCGCCAGCACCGCCAGCACCAGCACCACCAGCCAGCACCACCAGCACCACCAGCACCGCCAGCACCACCAGCACCGCCAGCACCACCAGCACCGCCAGCACCAGCACCGCCAGCCAGCACCACCAGCACCACCAGCACCGCCAGCACCGCCAGCACCAGCACCACCAGCCAGCACCAGCCAGCACCAGCACCACCAGCCAGCACCACCAGCACCACCAGCACCCAGCACCGCCAGCACCACCAGCACCGCCAGCACCACCAGCACCACCAGCACCACCAGCCAGCACCACCAGCACTACCAGCACCGCCAGCGCCGCCAGCACCAGCACCACCAGCCAGCACCACCAGCACCACCAGCACCGCCAGCACCACCAGCACCGCCAGCACCACCAGCACCACCAGCTCCACCAGCACCACCAGCCAGCACCACCAGCACCACCAGCACCGCCAGCACCCCAGCACCAGCACCACCAGCCAGCGCCACCAGCCAGCGCCACCAGCACTACCAGCGCCGCCAGCACCGCCAGCACCGCCAGCACCACCAGCACCAGCCAGCACCACCAGCCAGCACCGCCAGCACCGCCAGCACCGCCAGCACCACCAGCACCACCAGCACCACCAGCACCACCAGCACCACCAGCACAACCACCACCAGCACCAGCACCACCAGCCCCACCAGCCAGCACCAGCACCACCAGCACCACCAGCACCACCAGCACGACCAGCACCACCAGCACCACCAGCACACCGGCACCACCAGCACCCCCAGCACCACCAGCACCACCAGCGCCACCAGCCCCACCAGCCACCAGCACTACCAGCGCCTCCAGCACCACCAGCGCCACCAGCGCCGCCAGCACCACCACCAGCACCACCAGCACCACCAGCACCACCAGCACCACCAGCACCACCAGCCAGCACCAAGCCGGGTCCGGGCGACCAGAGTGAAGCCCCCACAGTCGCTCGGTGGCCTGCTCTGCTCCCCTTTGCAGCCCAGCTTTCGGTCGCCGAGTCCTTGCTGGAGGGGCGGGCGCTTGCCCGCCAAGCACCGGCAGCCGTGTGCCTCGGTGACGGCCTCTTGGGCCGGGGGCCGCCGGGATATAAATGGCCAGCTTTGTGCACGTGAGGAGCTGGCCTCCGAAGCAACGCCAAGACCCCTTGTGCCCGGGGGCATCCCTTGAGGGGTGCAGAACCAGGCGTTGGAAAAAGGCGTGCTGCAAAAAAAAAACGAAGCTCCTTTGCCAAAAAATGTGTTTTGTTAATTTTTTCAATTGGGTCACAAGGCTGCATCTTTCAACCCGCAGAAGAGTCCAGGTCGGGGTTTTCCGCCCATGATTTTGCTGTTTTGGACCGCTTGTCCGTGCTTCTTCAGGCAGGTCCCGCTTCGCGTTGGGCGCTCGCAGGTTTTGGTCTGCGTTCTGCGTCCGCTGTCGCGCCCTTGTTCGTGTTGGGGCGGCCCTGACCTCACCAGCCCCCGCCCCTTCCTTGCGAGCGGCAAACGTGAGAGCCCTCCCCTAGGCGCCTTTCTGCCGGCGAAGAGGTTCTCAGTGCCTTGCGCCGGGTCTTGCAGGACTTGCCTTTCCGCCTTTCCAATTCCGCGCTGACGGCGACGAGACTGGCATGTGGTGCCGTTGAGAGCCAGGGGCGCGAAGAAGAACGGTCCAGAAAAGGCGCGAGGGAGCCAGAGCACGGCCAGCGAAAGCCGACCCCAACAATGTTTGGGCTCCTTTGGTTCTCGGGCGGGCGTGTTGCGGAGTCGGCGCGCCCTCGAATGGGGCCGGGAACCATAAAAACCCGCGGGTATTCATACCATGCCTTGTGCCTTGCTCGGTCCCATGCTCACGTGCAGCGCGTGCAGTGCGCCCTATGCAGGCAGGGTTGGCGACCGGCCCTTGACAGCGACCTTGAAGCCTTATGTCGCCAGCTTAGCATTGATGTTTTTTCCCCGCGCCTTTTTCCGTCTGCTCCTGCAGGCCACTTATATACCGGCGGCCCCCGGATGTGCTTAGGGGGCATTAAGGGGGCAGCCATTTGTGGCGGCTCCCGGCTGTGCGGCTCACCGGCTGGGCAAGCGGGATGCGCCCGCCAGTGGCACGTGGGCAAGATCAGCCAGCAAGGTGCCGAGGGGAGGCAGGGTGCCACCCCCGGCATTGCAAAGCTCAGGCCCGCAGCCTGCCTGAAAAGGGGCGAGGCAAAGGCTGTCATGGCTGCATGGGTCAGCTGGGCCGACCACCTGGCAACAAGAGCGCTGACAACACTGGGGCGCAGCCGAGCTGGCGCTTCATGTGCCCGGGCGCGGGCCAAGGACCAGGCGGCCTCATCACTCCACCGCCCGCCAACCTCGACTGCAAGCACGACCAACCGGCATCTGTGCGCCCGCACGAGCTCTGGGTAGGCCCGCTCTTTGCGACGGCGCGCCACGGCGAGGGCAGCACCAGCGACTTGACCCCCGCGCCGAACGGGCTGGCCCTGGCCTGACAAGGGCGAGACAAGGGTATTGATTGGCACGCCCTCATGGGATAGTCAACATGGTCGACTTGTGCACCGGGCATGCCTTTGCACCTTTCAGGGGTGTCCCGCCCAGAGTGTCACTCTTGCAGTTTGTGTTCGCAATACAGCCATAAGCAGACTGTGCCTGAGACGCACCGCAGCTGTTTGACGCCGCACGGGCCGGCCGCCTTCCT